CGTGCAACAAATTTTAGGCCTTATCCATTTAAACAACCGAAGCGTAGGTCATGGTCAGTCACTAAAATGAACAGTGGCATTCTGAGGCTGCAGGAAAACCAATAAACCTAAATGGGAGATGGTGGAAACTCTAATTTTATTTCACCTGTGTGTGAGGAAATGGGCATGTTCTGCAGAAGGAAAAGAAAAACGGACCTCTCAAGATGATTTGAGAAAGATCTTGATCTAACTAAACACGTATTTGAGGGAATACATGCAACAGGTCTCACTGAAGTGGTTGCTGCATGCTATATGACAAAGATCTTTACTGCATTCATTGAATTATTTGAATGAACACCATCATGTAAACATTTATTAATTTATCACAAAACCTAACATTTCATTAGCAGGATCTAATTTCTTTTTGAAGTGACTGTCAATTGAAGTGGACTCTATAAAATTAAGCTGTATAACAATTGACACTTTAAATTTATTACAGGTTTAGCTATCAAAATACATGTTTTTAATTTAATATTTATTGTTATTGGTATGATCCATGATAAGTCATTAAATATGCATCATTTACTACCAAAATCGCTCCATATTAATTGTATAAAAAAAAAAGAGGGAAAACAGCAAATTGCACATATTTGGAGCCGTTTGTTGAGTTGGCAGGAGTAATTTTGGGGGAGATATTCAAACAGTGTTAAAGCTAAACTTGTGCTGCCAAATTTAGTTGTAAACAAAGACAGGGCATATTTGCTGTTTTCTATTGCTGAGGTTTCCAATTTTTAATAAAACCCCTTTGAGTTTGTCTAACAAGGCTGAGTCAGGTCCTCTGGATGAGGCCGTGTTAGATTTATCTACTGTACTTGCTGCCGTACACGTCGCACCGCCATATAAGTTGCATCAGCCCAAATATGTCTAATAAAGTGGAAAAAAACTATAAATACATGGCTTTGCCGTATACATCGCACCTATTATGCGTCACTGCTGACAATTCGGAAACGTGGGTCAGAGTTGTGCCAAAAATCGATTGGCTGCCAAATGGTGGCCACGGGAGCATTCATGGGAGGACTGTAACAAGAATTGAACAAGATTAATACTTAAAAACAACTGTTTGCTCGAAATATTAGCAAAGGTGTGTCTCAGTTGAACTTTTCCTTAATAAATGCACTTTGACGGTCAAATCAGCTGAATTTTAAAAGCCGATTCGTGGAAGTGGGAGCGCAGAGAGAGGACTGGCTCTGAATTTCTTCAAGATTTAACAAGATAAGCACTTAAAAACAATTATTTGTTTGCTCGACATTATACTAAAGGTGTGTCTCAGTTGAACTTTTCCTTAATAAATGCACTTAAATGGTTAAATCAGCTGCATTTCACCTGGGCGGTGCGGCGAAATGTAGCTGATTTGATGTTTGCTCCCGGAGTTCCGGAGCGAGACAAAGGTGTCTCGGTTTGACAAACCAAGTGTCTCATTAATATCCACTTTTGCCTATTAATGAGACACTTGGCTTGCCATACTTCGATGGCACTCTACTGGCTGAAAATGGGTATTGTTCAATATTTTCCATGCCAGAATGAATGAAATTGTCAGATCTCAGCCAAAAATTGGTTTATAAATATGGGGAAAAAACATAAATATGTTGCTTTGCTGTATAATTCACACGCACGCTAATTTATGCAAAAAAACAGCAAAAATTACGGTACCTGTATTATTGAGCATGCATCAGGACCTGATCATTTTGAGTTATGTCTACCCCAACACAATAATTTATCAGTGTAGAAATTGGATTAGAAGCAGAGAAATGTAACTGGAAAAATACAGAAAAATTTAGTATCTTGAGAGCTATTATGGCTGTAAAAGAAAAGCATCTTCAGAGGACAAAGTTTACCCAAAAGCAGCAGCTGTGGATTGTGTGATTCGAAGATAATGATCACAGAGGAGCAAGGCATGTAACAGCTGCAACAAGGAAGCTGTGAGAGTGCAACATCAGGGAGAGAACCAGTTGAGATCCGATAGCTCCAGGGAAGATGTTTGTCTGGTGCAGAGAGTGAGGCAAACACAGACCAATTTACTGGGAGGGAAAATTGTGCTGGAAAAAAAACAAAGTACGAATCGACTTGGGTCTTTCTCCACTGTGCAGTCTAATGTGAGGTCCTGAAGAAGACAACGCTTCTGATTTCTGTCAGAACAGTTCCAGTCAGTGAGCTCAGATAAATCACCAGCTCTTCCCAGAAGACAACGAAATAAGGAACAAACTTTAAAACAGAAAATAAGAATAAAAATGTAAAGACAACAATAATAATGCTTCGAGGGAACATTTACAGAATAAAAACTCCCCTCTCCATTTTTGTACAAATACCAGCGGGCCTTGTTTGCACGTCTGAAAATGTTAGTGTTTGTTCAATGTTTATTACGGCAAACCAACATGGAATGTAAAAAAAACAAAACAAAAAAAACAACAACATGTTTATCCGCTCTAGTTTCTTTGCAAGACAAACTTGCCAGATAGGAAACGAGGAGTATTGTACAATAATGTCTAAAAAAAGGCTCATTATTGTTTATCTGGCAACACAGATGCCAGGCTTCAATGAGCTGCACATGTTCATTCATTCAACCTTTATTTTTACAGGATAGTCTCATTGAGTCACAAGGACTCATTTACAAGAGAGACCTGCTTTTAACAAAGAACACAGACGAGATGCAGAGAATAATAATTCAACAAAAAGCAATTTAAATCAAATAAAAGAAGTTATAAACAGCATGAGTAACACCGTGGTTATATCCAATATAGGAGCATAAAAGCCTTTTAGTTTGTTTATTAAAGTTTAAAAATGACCAAAAGAAAGATTGTTATTGATAAGTCCTGAAGAGCTTTTTCTGCTGGAAAGGGATGGAGATGGGGTGCTTGGAGTGTCAAAGCTAAGGCTCCATGAAATTATTATTATCATTTTTTGAAACCTACAAAAACCAGAACTTCAATATCAGCTGTTCGCTGTTGTTTTGCTGCTTGTGCAAGTGCATAAAAGCCCGACAGCAAATAACATTTACACCTAAAAACCTCCTCTCTGAGCTCTGCATTCAGAAACCTTCAGTTTCAGAGAAAACGAGTGTTTTCGTGCACACGAACGGCTGAACCGCAGCAGAAAAGCTACGGTTTCCCTCCAGATCTACAATGTGCAAACAGGACCTCAGTCAGGGGTAGAAAAGTCTGCATATGTCAGTAAGTTCAGCACATAATCCGTTTCTGTGTCATGGTTTGGGCCTGGTTCAGTACAACAGAAACAAATGACTAAATGTCTGATTTTACTAGTGAGATTACGGCTCCAGAACAGCATGCCATGAACAACAAAGTAGGACTTTTAAACTGGTAAAATATAAAAAACATTATGTTTTTCATTCAACTTCAACAGTAACCAGTGTCCTACAGAGCACGTGTGAAACACGTTTGATCAACTTCAAAACTATAAAAGGTATTTATGTTAGTTAAAAATAAGTACATTTTAAAAACTGTTTTAAATAAAATGACCTGACAAACCAGAACAAAACAAAAAAAAGTACTTGCTTAATTTATTCCGACATTAACTGGACGAAAAATAAAACCCAACACAGTACTGAATTATATCTATGGTATTTTTTGGACTATAAGGCGCACTTAAAATCCTTTAATTCTCTCAATAATTGCCAGTGAGCCTTATAATCAAGTGCACCTTATGTATTAATGCTGGTTGTACCTACTGACCTCGAACCGATTTTATGGGGTTATTGTGAATGTTGAATAAAGTTTGACTTACCTGACTGTTCTGATTCACTTAATGCGCCTTATGTATGAAAATATCGATATTGTACCATATAGTCTGAAAAATACGGTAATTTAAAGTGCAAGCTAAATAAATGGTAAACATTAAAACCTAACTTCTTAGCAGGTGAGCTGGTGTCCAAAAATAATGTTTGATATCTGTAATACTGAGTAAATACACAAGTGGCCTTCCACAGAAATTGTACTTTCAAAGCCCCAATTATACAACATAAATGCTTACCATACTGACAGTCGTGTTTATAATCACTCTGTGATCTCTACACAGCTCATTATAAAAAACGTGTTATATCTTCCTCTGCTTCTTTTCTGTCAAGGCTGTCAACAATATGTATTTAACTATAACGTGCATCTGCTTCCAGGTATAGTGGTTATCACATGTGACTGATGTATTTGTCGTGTACTTTAACATGACTGTGCCATACAACTGAACCGTGATGGTTTGGTAGAAGTGTGTATACCAAAACATCATGAGCGACTGCATTCTTTTCCACGTCTGGTTGCCGGACCTTGATATCTGTTATAATTCAGTAAAAATACAAGTACAATTACACTTCTACTATTGGTGCGGGGAAATCCTTCTTCAAATTATTCACCTTTAGCTGGACAATCTTTTCAAAGACAAACTTAATGTCTTAAATCATTCAAAAGTTGAAATATTTGACAATAAAATTCAGTAACTCACAAACAGTACACTGTCAGAAGATCAGGAAAGTAGACGACCGATATGTTATTTCATTACTACAAACACATTCCTGAAGAGTCAACGAAAACATTCAAAAATACAAAGTTAGTTTTATATCTTCCACTGATGACTTCTGTCACCATGGTAAGGCTGGGCAACATGATTATAACAATTTCACAACTTTTACTCAGAGTTAACTTCAACAACAACAAAAAAATACATACATGAGACAAGTATGTGAAAAATAATACATAAACAAAGTGGTTGTTCAAAGACAAAATACTAAATTAAATAAACCAAACCCACCAATACCATTTGTTGCATTGGGAGGTCTGTTGAACAGTCATTAAAACTATTATAAAGATGGTGCACAAAGGCTACAACGGTCAGGTATAAAAACATAAGCTGACTTTACAAAATAAGTATCAATAAATACATATAAAATGAATAAAAGAACCAGAAAAGCATACACCAATAAATAATCCTAAAAACCAACCAGAGTTTTTGTGTAGTCCTCATTGGCTGGCGAGCTGTGTAGTCCATAAACTTATACTTCTGATAATGAGCCATTCTTTCTGACTGGCTGTCACCACAATGCGTACACACTCGATGTCAAAGGCTATTTTGTGGTCCACATCTTGGACCTCAATGTTGCCATTTTTAAACTCTCCTAGCGTGATGTACGAGGAACACTGTTTCCCCTTTTTAGTCCCAACTAGTTTCTCGCCTACTTCCAGAGCCCCATGGTGGAGAACGTCATTCTGCCGGTCATCAGACCCAGTTGTAATCTTGATTTTGCAAATTTTGGTTGATTTGTTAAATACCACGACAAAGAAATCCCCAGTGGAGGGAGGTTTGCCCCAGAAGTATTCATCTACTGTGCTGTAAGCCTTGGAGGCATCGTAGTTTTCAAAGACGTTGATGTTTGTATAAATGTTGGCAGGGGGGTTGTCGGGAATGTCAATGGAGTCTTCCTCAAAATCGTCGTCCTTCAGTTTGTTCTCCACCCCTTTATAGGAGGAGTAGTAGCCCATGTGCTGGAACAGTGAGGGTTTGAAGCGAATCACGTCCTTCTGAGCCAGCAGACCCCTGAAGTGGATGAGGAGCCAGTCACAAGGCATTTCCTGGTAGAACATGAGGAGGAAATGAGCCAACCGGGGCAGGTCTTTGGAGTGGTATAGCTTCCCGATGTAGCCCAGTTTGGAGAACTCCAGCATCACCCAGTAGGAACCTTCTCTGGAGGTGATCACCTTTTTCAGCGCTGTCAGGAAGTTCCTGGAGCACAGCACGTCGTCCTCCAGCATCATGTAGAAGTGTGACAGGTTGGTGCAGAAGTTGAGGAGGAAGGCGTAGTCCACATTCTGCTTGGAGCGGAACCGGACCCGGTCTTCTGGGTCATTGTAGTTCCTTTTCAGCCCGTCCAGAGAAGGGTAGTACTCCTCTGGGGCCTGAATGACCAGGAGGCGTCCGGCTATGATGTGGTGAGCAAACTTCCTGGTGATTTCCTGCACCAGGTTCTCACACCAGACCAGGTCAAAGTCTGCCAGATGAACCACAACCACAATCTCCTTCAGTTCTTCATAACTGGACTGATCAAAGATGGACTTGATTGTCTCCAGGAGGTAGTTCCCTCTTTTCCTCTTGACTGATGACAGCCCAATGGTGAGAAACTCTGTGAACAAAACATGAAAATCTTCTTTACTCTTTATATTATGTGTCATTTTAGAAAAACTCTAGGACAATTACATGGAGTCCAAATAGGAAAAATAAATAAAAAATCTTACTAGTGTTAAGTCTACCAATCTAAAGTGGACACGTTTTTCAAGTCCTTGATGTAGTTTAATGTTTAGACAAGGAACCACCACAACCTTGAAGTTCAGTTTAATTTTCTCAGATCACAATCACAAATATAAGTCAAGTCAAAGTGAGCTTGGTTTGAAAGAAAAACACAAAACTTACTTTTGCGATTCAGAGGTGTTCCAGCAAGATAGCGGTATGTGATGTTACTGGTTCCAGAGAAATTACTAAGATCTCTGAAGGTGTGAACGTATCGCTCCGAGCTCGGAGGATGGACTGATGTTTCCCTGAGCTGCCTTTTATCCCCTTCCTGTAACACAACGTGAAAAGTGCAATGTAACAAAAGAATTGCAACAGAAGAGAATATACGTACATGAATACGTCTTTGAAAATGGCTGAGCGAAACCTCAGTGTTTTGGATAAAAGGAAAGATAAAGCCTCTCTGGGGAATTTGCAGAACTGAACATGTGGACTCACTGACAAGTCAAACTTCTTAATTTGATCATCAAATTCCAGTGACGTCATGCATAAGAGATACAGCATTTGGATGGTTTTCACTTGGGTTCACATTACGAAAATTTAAACATGCCTCCTTTTAAAACAAGTCAGTTTAAAAGGTCTATGTCATCGGGCTAGCGAGCAACGCACGGTATTTTGACTCAGAAGAATATTTGTTCCAACTTGCTGTTAAGACACCAAATAAATAAACCTAGATGTGTTTTTTTTTTTTTTTTAAGTTTGCTCAGAAAAATCCCAGCAAAGCAACAAAAGTCTGTTTACTAACCAGCACATAGCCATCTTCGATGTAGAGGTTTAGGAAGAGGAGGAAGGTGATGAGGAAGCCGAGGAAGGGAATAGTGGATCGTTTCCTCAGACACCTAATCTTCTCCAAGGATTTCCACAGCAGCCTCATTTTGTCCACGCTACTGCTAAGATCTGCAGGAGAAATACAGGGAAAAACACATCAGGCCTGGTTGGGTGAAGCTCCTGCAGGTTGAGACTGAGCTTTTTCTGTTGCTGCTCCAAATTTATGGAACAATCTCCCACCTCCCATCAGACGAGCCCCTTCACTGTCCATTTTTAAAACTTTTAAAACACCGTTTTATTCCCTGGCTTTTGGCACAACCTGAAATTTGCTCTGCACTACACTTTTTATTGGTCTTACTGCTTAAAGCACATTTAAAACACTTTAAACATAGGACACTTTTTGCCCCGCCCCCCTCAGGCTGGACATTGTGGAGCATTAAGTGTAGAATCAATAGACTGAGGAACAGCTTCTACCCTGAAACTGTTAAGACTCTAGCTAGTTTGGTATTTACTTTACAAATAGCTGATGCCAACATTTCTTCTGTGTACCAGCGTCAGTGTTACTACTACATTTTCAATTCAAGTTGCAATTCTGTTTATTCATACAGCACCAACTCACAATAAAGTTGTCGCAGGGCACTTTACAGGAACATACATCATGGGTGTAGGGCTGACTCATCATCAAGTATTAATTACATGAACTGAAATCTTTCAAATTCAATTCTTTTAAATTAAATAAAAAGTCATTTAATGCAGAGGTCTGACAGTCTGGTAAATAAAAATAGCTATTTTAAGTTATTTTGTCTTCTTGTGCTTTTTAAAAAAAATTTAAATATCACCCTATTGAATATAAGTCAAGCAACTTTATTGCCAATCGCCCTTAAGTACAAGACTTAAAGCGAATAAAAATTAAACTCATTCATTGTGCATTAAAATAAACAAATATTATGTAAGGCAAAAACACATTTTGAAGGTTGTTCCAACTGAAAATAATTTATTAACTTTTCTGTGAATAAAAGCACTTAACATTAAATAACTGCAAGATTGGTAAAAAAAACAGGCAACCTACACCAAATCATCAGAATTAATGCAAAAATGTAATATATTTAATATTCATGACCATTAATGCATTGCATTTATCACAGTAAATGTATGTCAGTGTGATTCCAAATATAAACCAGATTAGCACAGACAAATCTCAAAACCCTTGTTTTATTTTTTGGTTTGTATGTTTGTATAATGCTGAAATCTCCAGCTAATTATAACTACAAATGTGAAACTGACATTCTCATGGAGACAACTTTATGAGTAATGAAGGAAAAAATAAAAGGGAAACAGACGCATCTTCGCTATTATCTTAAGCAACTAAGCATGTGTTTTAGTTTTAACACTGTTTTACTTCAAGAACCAAAGAGAATAAAAGAGTTGCAATGTTCTGCTGAAGCGAAGTTCAATGATGCGAAGAATCATCTGCTCTGGAAGCATCTCGGTTGTTGCTGCAACAACCAGGCAGCTCAGGTAGCTCCCTCTCTGCTTCCCAGCGCCGCCTCGTCCCTCTTCAAGTGAAAACCCAGCTGCAGCTTTAACTCTAGCCAAACCTGTTTTCAGACACAGTATAAAATTAAACTGGAATTTTCTGTGGTTTAAATTAAGACGAGAGCTGATCTCACGGAACTGAGATTTGAACGCCAACTCTTGATGGAACAAGACAAAGAAAGAAAGAAAGCGGTCCCTGCTGTTTAAATAATTCAGTGTGGGCACCAGTGAAGAAGAGGGTAAGAGGCTCATAGAGCCATAGGCACAGCAGAGAAACACATGTTTGCTCCTCTAGGTTTAACTGTGGCAGAAGTGCTCAGCTGAACACCTCCAACATTACCGTGCAGACTTGCACACCTTACATTAGTAGATTATAAAATATGGTAGCCTATGAGAAAGACTTCCTGATTAAAGGTCTGTGGATAATGATGTGAGATCCCTGTTAGCATCCATTAGCAGGAGGCTTGTGTGTGTTTATTATTATGTTCCTGAATTCTGGGCTGAGCTGTGGCAGTGAAATGGACTGATGTATTTTGGTAGAGCTGCCATCCTAAGAGTTAAGTCCCTCACATATATCTGAACTATTTTTTAAAACACATTTTCAACAGTCTGAAACTGTTAAATATCCATTCTGCTTTGTGTATGTGCACCTAGTTTTGCTTCTTTTTGCTACAGTTTGTGACATTTTCTGGTAAAATCGCCAACCATGTCAGAAATATTGTAATAATAACTGTAATGCCACTTTAATTGGTGATATGTGACTTATCTGTGCTGCTGATTATCTCATGCTGCTGTAATCATTCATACCCATCTGCTCACCACAGACTCATGCCTGTGCTGTTGTTGTTACGCCGTATTGTTTTACATTACAATAGTCACTCGCTACTTCGCGGTTCATTTATCGCAGACTCGCTCTATCTCAGTTTTTCATAATAAGATTGAACTTGACACGCAATTAACTGATTGATGGATGAGCCGCACGATCGGCATGGATTTTTTATTTAAAATAAATAATGTTAAATTATTTAGCAGCTGCTGCACATCTGTGCAGCCCAGAGCTGCAGAAAAAGCTTCCTCCTGCAGCTTTGTACAGCCCATACTGCAAGATAAACTCCCTGCTGCAGCTGATCAGCTGTTCACCGTGCAAAGCGGAAAAGTGGGCGTGGCCAAGAGCGCTTGCAGGTGGCTGAGAGAAGCGGAGGCAGAGAGCTGAAATCATGACATTCTGTGCTCTTTTAGAGCGTTTAGAGTTTAGAAACATAGTTTAAAACATTGCAAGAGTGGGAAGGGTTTAAAATGCCTTCATATATATATATATATATATATATATATTTTTTTTTTTTTTTTTTTTTTTTTTTTTTTTTTTTTATATATGTATATAAAGAGAGAGAGATAAACTACTACCTTCTGCTTGTACTACTATTCCTACTTGGTAGTTTTTCACTTATCGCGGGTCTTCAGGGTATGGATCCTCTGCAATAAATGAGGGAGTACTGTATTAATGTTTAGCGTATATCTTAGATCTTTTAGCGTACTGTTTGGCGTTCATTTAGTGCATATCTTAGTGTATATTTTGATATATATGGTTTGTTTTTATACTTTACATTTTTGTTATTTTTGAATGTAACTGGAACCTTGAGTACAAAATTTTGTTCCACCTCACGTACCACATGTAATGTGAATGACAATAAAATTGACTTGAATTTGAAATGGTAATCCATAAACAGACTTGGGTTAAGAAAGTGAACCAGGTTTAGGTCTATGGTGTAAATTGAGTTTGGGTTAGAGTTAGACATGTACTGGTAATGGTTAGGTTTAGGATAAGTGTTGGGTTAGGCACAAAACTTAATGCAAGACAATGCATTGTCCTAAAAAAATACAGAAATGCAAACTTGGGTACAGTATGTGTGTGTGTGTTTGCTCGCACATGTGCACTGGACCAAATAAACCCCAGCACTATCTTTCTGATTGCTCTCACCTATCACCACTACAAGAACTCACTCGTATCGACTGTCATTCTCCACCTTGTTCCCAGAGCTATTCTGAGGTTAAGTCCTGTGTGATTAACATAAAAGGGCTTGTTGGCGGCACAAATGTGACAAAAGTCCACCAGTTTGTCATTGTTTTGTGTAAGCATTCTGTTCCAGATTCACAAACAGATTTTAATTTCAGATTTTACATCTAATTTTCAAAGTGAGGTTTGGACCTCTGACTTGGCTGACAACTACACTGTGTCTCTATGCTGGTGCAGTTTCCCCACATTTAAATTAAGTATTTAGCAGCATTTAGATAAAAAAAAACATTGCACATTTATGTGAATATCTACCAGGGCAAAAAGCACGGGACTCTCAAAGATTAGCACTGTTTGCAACACAGTTAATGTGAAAAACATGCCATCTGAAGAACATATTATGAAGTTTAGCAATATGCTGCAATTTTGGTGTCACAAAAATGTGACAGCAAGCATTAAAAAAAATGTATTAATCTCCTCTTCCAGTGATGTCAGAAATTATTGCATCAACAAATACAGTAAATAGTCAAAAATGTGTGTAAAATCTTGCTGTGGTTTTATTTTCAGTATTTAAAAAAAAATCTTGCTTATAGATCATTTAAACATACAAGGCTTCACATTTTAGATTTAAAGATTAACAAATAGAATTAAAAGTAATCATTTGGGGGGATGACTTTTGCAGAAACACCAGTCCCATTCACGTGTTAAAGAATGGGACTGTGGTCCAAATCCTCCAGATGGGGATAGAGTACTCCATTGTTCAGATTAATCTTTGTTGTAATAAATGTATTAAGTAAATATGGTTACAACCTAGCTGTTTTTGTCTAATTTTTTTATTACCATTTTCTTTAATTTGTTCTTCTCAGTTCGTATGCTTTCTTTAAAGATTGTCTTTTATTGCCTTTGTTGTCATCACTCTTTGTTAAAATCAGGTCTCTCTTGTAAATGAGTCCCTGAGGCTCAATGGGACTAACCTGTATAAATAAAGGTAGAGTGAATAAATGGACTATACTGTATATAGCACCTCTCTGTCTTATTGAGATGCTCAAAGCACTTTAGTAAGTAAGCGCTTTAAGTAACAAATGGGAAGAAATGACACAAAATGTGACTTACCGGTTAAGAAAAGTCATCTTCAACATGATTCCTTCATGATAAAGTGAGACGTATTTCATTAAGTTCTAAGAAGTTTTCCTGTACCGCTGCTGCTGCAGCTTATTGTGAGAAAACCTTTTATCTGTCTCTTCGTGCCTTGTGTTTCTTATGCGATTGTGACAGACATAGTAAAACTGTGCAATAAAAGCAACAGTAATCTGTATGTTCTGATGGAAAAGGAGTGCAAATTACTCCCATCTGCTAAATTTAATGGGTTTTTGTTTCAGCATATATCTAGCACCATTTGCTTCGTGAGTATGAGGCCGAGACTGAGCAGATACGATGAAAAAGTAAAAATAGAGCAGATAACACCCCAGTTCAATTTTAGTGAATATGCCTGTCAGTTTGGTTAAGGTTTCCATATGTTTCCCCTCTGTATTAAATATTCAGTATACTTTGCAGTTTGTATTAGCATTCTGACTACAAGAAAGTCATCCTCCTAGACTTTTTTTTTATATATAAGTTGCTCTCAAATGGGACAAGATAAAAAAAAAAGACCTGGTTAGACAGCCTCCAAAAACCCTCCAAGGAAAACATCACCTGGTTGTCACATACCAGTGCCGTGGGGTTTGGAAATGGCCCCAGCTGAAAATCTTCCCCACATCAGTCCTTGACGTCAAAGCCAGCAGAGATTTATGTTGATGTGCTGAGACGCGAGTACCCCAGGGAGTGAGAATGATAAACAAAGGAAATGAAAAATCATGTGGAGACCTGTAAAAAATAAAAAAAACGATGATGAATTTATGTTTCCCGTGCTAACAGGAAATATAATTAGCTGCACAAATGTTGACACTTGGGCATGCATTTTATTTCTCTTTGGAGATTGAAAAGCTTGAATAAACATCAACATCCATAGACTGAAGCCTAAAAAGTTTATAAAAAAAGTTTTAGGCATGCACCCATCCTTCCATCCATTATCTTTACAGGCTTCTTCTCCTTGGGTTACGGGGGTCACTAGTGCCCACGCCCAGCCATCACTGTGCGAGATGCGGGGGTCACCCTGGACATGTCTCCAGTCCATCACAGGGACACATAGAGACAAACAACCATTCACTCTCTCACTCACCTAGGGACAATTTAGAGTTGCCAATCAGCCTAACATGCATGTTTTTGGTCTGTGGGAGGAAACTGAAGTACCCGGAGAAAACCCACACATGCACGGAGAGCACATGCAAACTCAGAAAGGTCTCAGGCTGGGATTTGATCCAGCAACCTTCTTCTCGACTGTAACTAACTTTACATATCTATCTAAACACTATGTAATCACTAACCTAAAGACAGAGTGGTCTGTGAAATTATTGTACATCAAGTTCATCACGTGTTTTATCTTTCTAATGGACGATAACCAAGATACATTTCATACTAACATCATACAAGACAGTAAAACAATGAAAAACTGCACATCCATCCATGATTTTTCTTGTTTATCTGTGGTTTGAGACCAGAGCCAGGAGGGAAACAGAGACATCCCTGTCCCCAGTGAGACTCTCCAGCTCCTTTTCCAGGTCACAGAATCTTCATCTTCTCTCTGGAAAGTTATGGGTCTGTCTAAGATTGTCTTCTCTGTGGGATGTGCCCATAAAATCTCTAGAGGGAAGCATCTATGACATATCCTTTGTGATGTCCACCAGCATCATTGAGCTGCTCACATTACGTCTAAAGCTAAGCCTGTCCACCATGCAGAGTATTCAGCTCGTTTCTGGGATCTTGTTATTTTGTTTCTGCTTCATAAATCATGACCATAGATGAGGGTTGGAATTTAAATAAAAGCTTGAAAAAAAAACCCCTGCAGAATGTTTTCTAATTTTTTCCCATGTGTGCTATAGACCAAAACTGCCATAAACTTATTTGAATTTGTCCTCGATGTCATTTATGTTTCTCTGGCAGTGCATATTAGATGAGTGGTCCAGGAATCTTCTTTTCCTTTGTTACATCATATTCCCTTAATGGTGAAATGTGATGGAGGTAAGACTTCAAATGGAAAACAAGAGGCTCCCCTGTGCAGAGAAGGCAATTATGTCGTCTGGCCCGATGTGTAACTTAATGCCAAGCTTTCAATACAGCACACATGACACAAAACAAACAAACTGTCGGCTTCCCTTTCCATTTGTAATGACTTCAGTCCTGCAGCGCTGCAGCAGTCCTCTTGCACACAATAAAGTTCTTTTTCCCTTAAGAGCCGTGAAACGAAACAAAGAGTGAGAGTTAAAAAGAAAAGTATCACTGAGAGGAACAGAGTTATCTTGCCACAAACCCATGTGGTACCACAGCAGTTTCACGTCTGATCATTCGGAGATTATTCTTTTAAAGTGCACAGACCTCTATGTCAAAATATCCTTTGGGACATCGGTAACCTGAATTAAAGAAGAGGAGGGGCAGAATAATGAAGAGAACAATAAAATGTACTCCTAACAGTGCCAGGTACACACAGGCTTGATTCCTCCCATGATTTATTCAAAACCAAATCAGAACGTCTTTCTAAAGAAAGGGTTTTCTCATTAGCTCAAATGAACTCTTCACATCTGAATTCAAACATTTTCAAACAAATTCTGTGCCGAAATAGGGAAAGCTAAGTGGTAGATTAATTGAAAATTTAAAAATAATGGGAATAGATTAATAGACCTAACTGCAAAAAGCAATTTTCCCAAATTTCATCCTGTTATCTGTTTTACATTATTTCCCCTGGGTGTCCTACACCGTACAGACATACAGCCCTGCACAAATAATCAATTAAGCCTGCAGATTTGCAGGGATTCAGCAGCTGCTTTGTGTGAAGCCTTCAGCCACTTTCAATGGATGTTTTTTTCTTGATAAAAAGCCGAGTAGAACACTGGCTTTTGTTGATTAAAAAAAAAAAAAAGTTGAAGCATGGGGTGAAATATTGAATCACTTCATTTTTTTTAAATGGCTATTTTCTGGATACTTTGAATTTGGCAAACTGTTTACCAGTTACTATATACTTTGTAAATAATAGCATTCCAAAGAAAAAATAATGTGTCATCAAAAATTTATTGACAGCCACTGCCTACGATTCACACAGAAATGATCTAATTATGAACACACAATTGGGAATTGACATTGGTGGTAAATTAAAGCGGAAAAAGCTGTCACTGGGAGATTCACTACACAGTTCTTTACGTCTCCTACTGTTAAAGCCATTTGTGTTTCAAATTGATGACCTGCCATCTACTCAAAAGTTAATCATCCAAACGAGTCCTTGTGTCATGAGGCAACAACATAAACTTTTTTTTTCTGTTGGGAGATGCCAAGTACTTTTCAGATCATAGCAGAGCCCCAGATGTGGCTTGTATACCAGTACCAGCTGCATCAATCTCCAGAGACCAGATGCCTGAGCTGAGTTTCCAAACAGATGTCCCACCCCACTACTGCCTTCTCTCTCCATTGTCTCCCCATGCCGGGCCTGTCATCGCTGTCATCAGCTTGAGTTCACACTACCTAATGGGAGGAGGAGGTGATGAGAAGGTGGAAGGGAGTGTGTGTGTGTGCTTGTTTATGTGACTTTGTGAAGACCATTGAACACATACTACATCGTGAGGACCAGTTGCTCTTTGTGAGGACCAAAGCCCGGTCCCCATAACGTTCAAGTGTTAGGGGTTAGGTTTAGGACTAAGGTGTGAATTGAGGATGGATTAGGTTTAGGCAGTGGCGCAAAAAGCGGGTATGCAGCGTATGCAACGCATAGGGGCGCTGCACTGCAGGGGGCGTCAAAACCCTCTGTAGAAAAAATGTTTTTCTAGTAGGCATTTTCTAAATGATCAATAACAGGGGAACAGCACTGATTAGGCGCCCCTCTGCTCCTTCACCTCCCCTCTGCTCCTTCACCTCCCCTCTGCTCCTTCACCTCCCCTCTGCTGCTTCACCTCCCCTCTGCTCCTTCACCTCCCCTCCTATCGCTCTCCCTTCCCACACAGGTGGCTGTGAACACGCCCGTAAGAGAACGCACTCGGCGCGTTTTTTTTTTTTTTTTTAATCTTGAACTACCGCTCGTTGTGCACTTGACAACAAGATGGAGCGGCAGAAAAAAAAGCTATCCGGGGCGCAAAACAGAAAAAGGAAAAGGGAGAAGGATAAAGATGTTGGCGGGATGAAAAAAAGCCTTTCAATGTGGTTGAAAGATAGTAGGTAAGTACTGTCAGTGTATTAGCAGGACAGGAGGGTTTAAATATTCAGGTTAGCTAAAGCTAGCCTAATACACTGCGGTTGGCTGTTAAATGTTGCCTCCCCTATTGATGTGATTTGTTTAGTATTTTCTGTATTTTTATGAATATTTGATACATGCGCCTCGCCTGTCACACACACATATCCACACACTAAGTGTAAGAATGACCAAAATAAAACTCATGAAATATTAACACAGGAAAGCTAAACTGTTGTGGCGGCAGTTCCCAGCTATGATCCAACGCTTAGCCCTCAGTGCTGCAATTTATTCACTCATATGTACATTTATTATTATTGATTCTTTAATTAAAGATGAGTTGTACAAGTTTATGTGTGTATCAGATAAATTAGTCCTCAGTGTCACTATAGCTCAAAAAGGTTGGTGACCCATGTTTCCAACCTTTTTGGCAGAGGGACACTTGAGTTTAAATGTCTTATTCAGTATCACTACAGTGGTGTGTGTTGTGATGTATCTGGTGAGTCAGATCAGATGAAATGTCCAGTCAGTAACTGTTATCCAACAAGGAGATCATTTAAATTCAAGTTTCATTTCTATTGTGGTTTGACTGCTGTATTTTTAAACCTACTTGACACAAAATTAATGTCATTCAGCTGTGAGGATGGAGAGAAGGAAGAGAAGATGACAGAGGAAGAATCAGGACAGACTGGGGAAGGCAACAGGTTGGTCTAATGCAGGTGGAAGTGAGGGAACAGTTACTTAATCCCAAGCAATAACGTGTAAACATTATTTTTAAAAACTGTATTAAGATCTGTCATTTTTACAACTAATATATAATGCTTTTTTGACCTTATGACTTAGTGCAGAATGCCACAGACAAAAGGTGAAGGAGACAGACACGAGGTCAGTGATAGAGGAGACAAGTGATGACATCAGGTAGGAATAATTACATTAGGGAGGCAACAAAAACCTATATACCATGATGGTTTTAATTTCTGATGACCATATTTCATTGTCTTCTTTTTTGGGAAAATTAGTTCAGGCAGACATGGTGAGTTAATCATCACAAAGCAGAGAGGACCAGATGATGAAGAGGGAGAGGAGCAGAGAGGACCAGATGATGAAGAGAGAGAGGAGCAGAGAGATCCAGATGATGAAGAGGGAGAGGAGCAGAGAGGTCCAGATGATGATGTAGAGGGAGAGAAGTACAGAGCTGCAGAGGAGAGGGCTGAGGCAAGGCTTTATTCAGAAGATCCATCCGAATGGCCTTTACCACACAAAATGGGGGACACATTTAGGCAGTACATGGTTGAAAATGGCCCACAGAAAGTTTCTGATGGTCCATATCCAAGATCAGAGAAGAATAAGAGGTGTTTTTCCAAAGCGTACTGTTTTCGTATACTGTCTAATGGAGAGAAAGTTGAACGAGATTGGTTACTGTATTCCAAAAATACCAGCAGAGTCTA